ATGACTGGTGCTGGGCAGTGGGCAGCTCCGTGACTGGTGCTGCTGCTGGTGCTGGCGCTAAGCAGTGCTGAATGAGATAGACCGTGCAGCTGAACCGATTGTTTACAAACAGTGCCGGACGTAAGTATTGTTTATACAAACATACAAATTGATAATTTAGGTCATTCCTTTTTTATAACTAGGTAATACCGGGAGGTTGTGCGACCGTCTGTCCCTGGCAAGTTGTCGGTAATATTGTGCGACCATGATGTTCTGATGTCGGCACATTGTGTGACCGTCTATCCCCGGTCAGTTGCTTGTATATTGTGTGATCGTCTGTTCTTGTATATTTTGTGACCATCTGTTCCTGCATTGTGTGACCGTCTATCTGTGGTAAAAGCCGGCATATTATGTGACCGTCTTTCCGTGATCAGATGTCTCTCTGGGCGGTGCGTCTCGCCCTGCTCTGCGACTGGCTTACCATCGGTCCGTCGGTGGCCCTGAAGCTGCCTCAGCTGGTATCCCTCCTCCGAGACGGCTCCACGGCCGGTCTGAGCGTCAGCTCCGCCGTGCTGGAGCTGGCCAGCTGCTCCATCCAGCTCTGCTATCACCTGCGGCACGGCTACATCCTCACCAGCTATCTGGAGCACCTGCTGCTGGCGCCGCAGCTGCTGGCCATCCTCCTCCTCCTGCTGGCTCGCCGCGGGCTGCTGGGCGCGCCGCAGCTGCTGGTGCTGGCCAGCGCTGCGCTGACGGCGCTGGCGCTGGCCGCCGGGCCTCTCCCGCTCGGCCTGCTGACCTTCCTACTGCAGCTGGACCTACCGATCGCCTGGAGCGGCAAGGTGTCTCAGCTGGGGGCCGTGGTGCGCGCGCGCAGCGGCCGCGCCGTCAGCAGGCTCACCTGGCTGCTGGCGGCGCTCACCTGTGTCACACGGCTGCTGACCACCCTGCTGCGCACCGGCGACCGGCTGCTGCTGATCAGCTTCACCGGCAGCCTGCTGCTCAACCTGGCCGTGCTGGTGGCGGCCACAGTGTTCCGCCGCCGGCCGGCCGACTAGACCGACAGTGAACAGAGGTCATTATCGGCGGACATAACTGTGGGCGGATATAACGATTTGTCGGCGGATATAACGATTCGTCGGCGGATATAACGAATCGTCGGTGGACATAACGATTTGTCGGCGGATAAAACGATTTGTCGCTGGATGGAACTTTTTTTGTCTGGTGTGGGCTGCCGACCGTCTATAGTCAGTCTTCTCTATAGAGAAGACCGACGGCGGACGGAATCGATATAATTGTCACGCTTGTCACACCCAGAAACAGTGTTTATGAAAAGAGAGAAGGTGTATCAAATCAATTATATTGTATTCAGTGATATAAAACATGCCTCGTTGCGTCCCGCTAGGCGTCTACATACGTTTGTTGCGAGTGCAGCCCGCTCTTTGAGCTTATTCGGTCCCGTGACCGGATGTCTTATTTAGACACATGTCTCAGATATTGAAATGTATCCTTGCTGGTGACCGTTGAAGTGATCGAGATCGAGTGTAGTGCACCGGACGCCTTGGATCCTCTGAGGCACGCGACATTTGAGACTCCTGACTCGACGGCAGCCCAGTTGAAGTCAGCAAATGGAGCGGACGTGTCTGGCTAAGTCCCAATAGATAAACGACTAGTAGCCGAAAATACGTACCTACCTTGAATTAAGATGTCTAGTCGTAAAAGCTTGAAATCATATAAGTCCCAATACCTATAGGCTTCTAAATTATGTTGACAATAGGTACGGAATTTTCCGACGGTATCAGCGTATTTATAGCTCTGGTTTCGTAAATTCGTATGCTCATGACATTTTAAAGTTTTTAACTACGCATATTTTCCAAATTAACCCGCGCTCCACTGGGGGGGGCTATTTATAGCCCCCCTCCCGTTTTTCTGCAATAACTTCCAAACCGCTTGACGTATCGACGCCAAACTTTCAGTACCTTAGGCTACATCAGTTTGACACCTTGTGTCAAAATTTGAACTTCGTAACTACTATAGGTCGGCCAGAAATGACGTAAGAGTGACGTCATGTTCGGCCGATTTCGACGCAAAACATTGAACCACGGCAATCGCTCCCAAGAGCTCAGTTTTTAAGCTAGATCCAATTTCTTTGCATGAGAGGACTCAGAATAGATTGCGCTATCAAACTGCTATCTCGGATTTTCAAAACTTTGAAAATTTCAAAAATTTGATATCATAAAATCCAAAATTTTTATTTTTATATTTTTTAAAAAAGTTTTTGACTTTTCGAAAAAAACCGGAATGTATGTGATAGAACGCATTATTATGAATAACTCTAGCAAGTTTTAGCTAAATATCTTCAAAATGGCCAAGTTTTACGCATTATTGCGAAAAATTCACAATTATTAATTTTTCAAATCAATTTTTCAGCACGTATTTGACATCGTACGCCAATATAAATAGCACCATCGTGCTCCTGAGCTCAAACTGCATCCAATAGACACATTTTTTGTTGAAAAATTTTAGCTTCAAAATTTGACCTTTTTTGACCTGAAAGTGACCTGACCTAAGCTAAATTCGACTCAAAATGACCTCGAATGACACAGACGACATCAAATTCGAAATCTCTGACCTAAATGGACCAGAAAACATGTGTCACGTGACCGACGCATGATATTATATTTTCGTGACCTGTGATGACCTGACCTTGACCTGAAAATCAAAGTACAAGTTTGGTACCCTCAGGGTAACTAGAGCATCTGTTCCCGAGTGTGTGATCCAAAAATGAGCCTGATCTGACATGTAAGACGGCGGCCAGAGCCCAAAACGTGAACAAGCCAAAATGCTAATAATTTTTACTTTGACCTGACCTGTGACGTCATTGGTGACCTCGAGGTCAATGAAATTAGGTTTTGCTCGACAGTTTTTCCGGGGCTATCAGACGCCGTTTGAATTTTGACGATCGGCCCAGTAGTTTCGGAGTTAGGAGGGAGGGGGGGGGCTATGAATAGCCCCCCCCCCCAGTAGGGCGTGTTATACGCAGACCCCAGTGGGGCGCGGGTTAACACGCGCACCGACGGGGGGGCGGATTTCCGCCCCCCCCCCCTGAGGTTTTTTGCGGATAGCGGGAAAACCGCGGCGCGTAGCGCCGCGAAATTTGGTACGACTATTCTCTCATCAATTTTGCACATGGTGTGCAAGTTTGAACCTCCTAACTTTCAAGGTCAGGTCACCAGGTCACTTTGGATGACCCAACCTCAAGTCACTTTTTTGCAACTTTGTCACCGTGCCAGAGCTACAGTAGATGTCGGAGGCCTTTGAAAGTCGCAGGATGATATTAGGTCATTAGTAGCTACAATTTGTATATCTCGGAGTTTTGATGTCGGTGACCTAAGGTCAGGTCAATTTCGCGACCTCCCCATTATAAGTCAATGGGGAAAAATCAACTCCCTGTTTTTACTACTGAAACGGGTCGGAATGGCCCCATATACCACACATGACTTCATATACGATCAACCTTCACTACCTTGAGGTCTGTTTTGCTGTTGGGCAGCTGTAAGGTCATGTGACGTCATCAAAGGTCACCAGCGGTTTTTTGCCAATAACTCCGTACAGGAACAAGATACAGCTGCGCGGATGGTTTCATTGTGTTCAGCTCGTCAAGACGCATCGAATGATATACATGATGACCTCGAGGTCACGTGACCTGAGGTCAACCTTTGACCTTGACCTTTCGAGGTCAACATATATATCATTCGATGCGGATTGACGAGAGGATCACGATGATGCCCTTAGTTTGTTCCTATCTTGACTAATTCGAAAGTTAGTCGAGAAAAACTCTGTCCATATCTAGCGCCGCCATTTTGACTTTTTCGACCCCTGTGACGTCATCTTTGACCTGACCTGAAAATAACCTTGTAAAAATTGTAGACCTTGTCCGTGCGTATCCGATGCCGTTTACCGCTTGTCGCTATCTTGCTTTGTTCTCGAGATCTCAGGGGGGGGGGGTGGTCATCCGCCCCCCCCCGTCGGTGCGAAGTTGGCGCAGACCCCCGTCGGTGCGCGGGTTAAGTTACAGCAATTCAATATATTAATACAGTGTAAGTATATAAATAAGCTAACAGCTCACACAACAGCTGCAGCTGCAAGTGCGATGCATGTTTTATGGCCAGTTTTTCATTTCCAACTCAATGGTGTTGGTTATAAGACCATCAGGTACGGTTTAGGTCACTTTCTGGTGGAGGTCAGGTCAAGGTCAGGTCAAAAAAGGTCAAATTTCAAAGTTGATATTTTGCATAAAATGGGTATCTAATCGGTGCAGCTCGTCACGGGGAGTTCAATGGTGGTCTTTGTTTTGCCGTACGTGGTCTAGAATTGCTAAAAATTGAGTTCAAAAATTTGACGTCATCATTTTTGAACAGTTTTTTCGCTATAACTTGGCCAAAAAACGAGATATCGATCTGAAATTTGGTATGTATATAGAAGAGCGCTGGGACTATCACATATATTCCGGTGTTTTCGAAATTCGGAATTTTTTGGATTTTTTCAAAGTTTTTCTAAAAAAATCAATTTTTTGAATTTTTTTTGGTCAAAAACCAAAAATTTTGAAAATCCGAGATAACAGTTTTGTAGCGCCGCTTTTTGTCTACTAGACCATATAAAGAACTTTGAAATTGCTTGATAACTGTAGATTTGGTGAGCGTTTCAAGATTGCATGTTTTTTGCTCATTTTTGCTCGAACATGACCTCAGTTTGACCTCAATAACTCCTGACCTAAGGTGACCTAAGACTTGAAATTTGGTGTGAAGGTGTCAAATTGATGCCCGGGAAGGTACTGAAAATTTGGCGGCGCTGCGCGCCGCCGTTTTCTTGCTATTCAGGAAAAACCACAGGGGGGGCCAAAATGGCCCCCCCAACGGGGCGAGGGCTAACCTTATATACACAGGAGAACCATTTAAAACTCGTTTACAATTATATCCTAGTGCAGCTCTGTGTCAGAATAATCCACAGACATACAATCCTTACAACAACTTCATTGTATTATACGTTTAAGCTGAACATAACAGATAGGTGCCACGGTCACAATACAACATCTCCCATAACTGTCTCATTAGGACCGAAATAGCGTCTAAAATAGTAGCTTGGCTACACACTACACCATGCACATGCCACACAACATGTCGAATATCGCTAATGTAGGCAGCTTTAAGTTCGGAGACGTCAAATAATTATCTCGCTCCCAGAACTCTAAACTGAACACTTGTCAAGCTCCCACTGCGTTTTTCTTCAAACAAGGCAGGCGCACAATATTTACAAATAAGTCTGATGACGATTGGAATGAGCCTGCAGCCAGGAGCACAACACAAGAAGCTGGCTACTTTTCACATCATCCATTACCAGCATCGCGAAAATCCGCAACAGCTCTTAGGTTGATTGTGACGACCCATACGTCACCACATATTCGCGAGCATGATAGTTGATACATTATCACCATTTAAAAGTATATGACGCTGACTGACGCTTAGCGAAAGCTACCTAAGGTCAGAGCTACCATTCATCGTTCTAGAGGACAACCTTCTATGCTGCGATTCCAGACTCGTCTGTGTCAAGATATCATGAAACAGGAGAGAAAAACTGTTATAAATAAGGCAAAACCTGCGAAGTTGCATTATTTTAAAACCATTATGTCGGAATACTTTAAGGGATATGAAAATATAAGGTCAATTTGACTTTTACATATCTTTTCTGATTTTGTTCCGGAAATAATATAATGAAATTGACATGTGGAAACTTATTGCAAAAATACACTTTTTAATCTACCTCTATTCGTCTACCACACGATTTATTTCATTCATTCAGTTTCATAAGTTTATTTTTCTCACACCGATCCACTGCGTACCGTTACCACCAATGCCCCCGACGCTGGTACCATCAGTCATCACACTGGTCGGTGGTGCAGTACTCGATTCCGTCGCGGCATACGCACGAGTTGCACCCGTGGGCTCGCGGCTCCGGTCCGTAATCACATGGCTCTCCGCAGTACAGCAGGGGACAACACCTGCAGAAGCATGGTGCCACAACCAGGGGTCATAAAATCATATATCATTTCTGCTGACTATGTGTCTGTGCTCCAGCGAATCAGTAAACCGAGACACAATGGTTCCTTTCCTACCCTCAGCCAACTATAGTTGAGACCGAGAAATAGCGGAGCTCAATCGACCTATCAGCATCTGACCTTTTGACCTCATGCACCTGCAGGTGGACTCGTCCAGCTGCGTCACCTGAACTCACCTTTAACAGGTCAACCGTGCGGTTAACGACCTGCAACGGGTATACTGACACCGCATATCTACTGCTGGTGAACCAAGCGACTGAGTGGTCTATGAATAAGTCGAGCGATCTCATGTGCAGCGTCGGACATATCAATATGACAAGTTCACTTTGGTTATTACCATGTATTTTTTTTAAAGAAATTCCAGCTAGAAGATGATGAGACTGACAGCTCCGAACGCTCACCAGTCTTACCCTGTTGACCTATAAGCGTTCAGCGTCATCAGCCGGCCGTTAACCTCACCTTCCGGTGTTAGGCACTGGCATACAGCCCGGTGGTGTCGATGGACACTTCACCTCCATCGTAATGGTTCTGCCGCTGACACAGGCGTACTGCTTGCACGGGTCTGCCGAGATCCACACGCTTCCGTGCTCGTGGTACGTGCCATCGTCGTCACAGCCTGGAGACGTGGTGGGGTAAGGGGCATAAGTCAGAGGAAAGGGGCAGAGGCTATGAGGTCAGGAGTTAGTGATCAACGATAGACGTCAAGGATAGAGGTCAAGGATAGAGGTCAGATAGGAGGACAGAGGTCAGGAGCAGTGGTCAGGAGACAGGGTTCAGTGATCATCGGACAGGGGACAAGGGTCAGAGGTCAGAGGTCAGGGTTAAGGAGACAGGTCAGCTGTCAGTAGTCAGGGGCCATGGGACAGACGCCAAGGGCCAGTGGCCAGAAGTTAGTGGTTAGAGGTCAGCCAATATTAACAATTAGCCAAGATTAACGCCAGGATAAGCCAAACTCACCGGCACGCACGCAGTCCCGTTTGGAGCAAACCATCTGCGCCGGTTCAGCCCCCTGGGCGTCGACGCACTCGCAGAACATGCACTCCTGGTCACCCTGGTACAGTTGGCCTGGCTGGCAGGGAGACGGTACGCCCTCCAGACCGGTGCAAAACCAGGAGGGGCAGCAGTCGCCGCTGAATGCCTCTGCCGCGCTGCAGAAGGTAAGTACATGTAACAGGTACACGGGAGGTACGGGGTACTGTGGACGGTGGGAGTTTTGTAAAATAGATGATTGTTATAATGACTGCACTGTGAGATCTCGCAAGGTGAATCTCCGCATTATGTTAACTAGTTGCGGAGGGCTTACGAGTGCTTATTGCTAGTTTAGACATTGGCCAATTTTAAGGATCATCCGAGCCTTGATTAGTGTTTATACAAAATATACAGCACATGCAACGTTAGATGCTCGACCACCTTTTTACTCGTCCATATGAGCTCCCAGAATTCTTCAGTCTGTCGTGACTCGTGATCAACACCTTACACACCTATAGTTAATTTAGCCCTTGATTCCACACAACAGCGATGGAATAATAGCATCCCTGCATTCTGCTTCTATTGAGTGTGCTTGCATAGACCGATGTGATGACGAAAACACATTGAGCTCCCACACGCCATTGAGTTCCCTCACCTGCAGGTGGCGTTCGCCGGGGGCAGGTTGCAGGACTCGTATACGGATACGGCCACCCCATCAATGCAGATTCTTTCCTCACACTGGTTGGTCGCCGGGATCTCCTCTTGGGTGGGGTACAGATCACCGTCCTTCTCACATTCTGTCGGGCAAATAATAAGATCGTTAGGCGGCACGGGCGGACATTGATACCAGCGCCTCTATCGGTCACTAGGGAAAGCTGGGCTGTAGGCGACGAAATACCGGCTGAGTTGTCACAAGTTAACCCTAGAACGCCTAGGGGGGGGGGGGGTTGTATCAACCCCCCCTGAGGTTTTTTCGAAGTGCACGCTAAACGGCTTGTCGTAGCGGGCTGAAATTTTCAATACCCTCTGGGGCAACCTTTGCGCATCTTTTGCCGAAAAAAAATTGATCGGGTCATGTCAGGTCACGGAGTTATGACGTCATAAGAGGTACAGCCTCCGGCCGGATTTTCACAAACTGAGTGCCAACGCCCGAGGTTTCCTGCCGGTGGTACGGACATCGGTTGATGGATCGTGATGAAACTTCCCATGCATGTTGGGGCAAGTATTGGCTATCATATGGTATAAGAAATTTGACCGGGTCAGGTCAGGTCACGGAGCTATGACGTCACAAGAGGAACAGCGTCCGGTACTATTTTTGAAAAGCGCCCGAACCACTATTTTGCTAATTCTTGTCACCTCAATGGGAATATGCAGCAATATTAGCTTCTATAGGGAGCAAATGGACCTCCCAAATCCAAAAATACAATCAGATTTCAAAAATTTAAATTTTGATTTTTCGAATTTCTGCCGCCGACTGTGACCTTGCCGACTTCCGGCGCTCCCAACGCGCCATTTTTAGAGCTAGGGAAACGAAATACATACCAAACGATAGAGAATTGATCAAGGAACACGATAGTGAAGGTTTCAAGTCGATATCTCCCACCGTTTTGCCGCAATCGCCGCCGAAAGTTGAAAAAAGTCTATTTTTCCGAAAATTTGACCTTTGACCGGTCCAAAGTAGGTCAAATGTTGACCTAGGACCAAAAAATATACCACCAATCGCGAGATCTCGTTGAGAGCAATCCGTTGGTTTTTTCCGCTAAGCTCTACGACCTTCCGTTTCGAAACGCCAGGGGGGGGGTCGTAACAACCCCCCCCCTGGTTGTTCGTGTTATGAGAAATGGCCTGGTCATGGATGAGATAATAATGGATTGGTGTCTTTGCAGTTTTTGGCGACATTGAGCTCAGGCCTGCCATCTAGCGGGAGAATTGTCGTAAGTTAGGAGCAAGCCGAGTGAACGCCGCTGATTAGCATTGTGACACACGGGAGTGTGGTGTAGTTGCAGGCTTGTTGTGCAATTTTTCAAAAGTTTATGTCTTTATATGTCAGTAAAAGCGAAAAAATTAATAGATTTATGTGCAGGGTCAGTAATAAGATAAGCAGTTCCATGTTATTTCCTCATTAAATCGTGAAACAGGGAGTTATTGGAGACTTCGCCAGCACGTGTTGTTTTCGCTATTTTTCACATGAGTCTTTACTTGGCCTAAATCAAACAAATTGTCCGATCAAAGAACAAAACGAACGTAAGTACTATCTATAAGTCTAATGAAAAACTTAAACGGAATTGCTAACGTCATTGCCGCTCAATATGTCATTCAAGACGCTCTATGAAAAGGACCCAACCGGTGGTGCGTAGTCGATGAAATTTCAGTGACTTTGGCTCCAACTCCGATTCCGGTATCCAAATATCGACTCCGACTCCTCCGGGCAGAACTGCCAATTCACACAGACTCCGACTCTGATTCCGACTCTGCAGCCCTGGTAAGTCTGTGGAGTCGATGACTTTTCGGTGACGTTCTCGACTCATACTCCGACTACCATGGGTGGAGAACCTGCCCCGGCCACCCCGGCCGTGGCCGGGGTAACTTTCAGCCTACCCCGGCGCGGCCGGGGTAGCTTTTCCACACTTGTAGATCCTAAAAGCTGTCTCCATACGAAAACAACTATCGTTCTTTGGATGTTGACTGCCATGGACGTAATATTGCAAATCAGGTAGGTATTCGCTTACCATAATATCCAACCCTAGGAAGTAGGAACCATTTGTGGTCGCCAATGTCAAGATTGCTCTCAAATCGTGTTCAGTTTCTAAAATTTGGCGCACCTTAGGCTCACTTTTTCAGAACCACTGCTGACCTCACCGGCCACTGCCTTCGACTGGCCTGCCACCTACCGCAACCATACCTGTTTAGGGGACGGGACCGGGACCGTTGTAACCGGGACGCATGCTCTCGCCACGCGGAGTACAAGTGTATGTACAACGCTCTATCGACTAAGCTACGAGACCAAGACCGGTCGATATCCCTGGATCGACTCCCTGTTTGTCTTATAAGAGGTTGAACCGTCCAACATTGGAAAAGGCTGTGTTCCTGGATGTCAGTGAGTACATAGTGACCCATTTTTATGTTTTGGTTCGAACGTTCAGTTTTCTCTGTAAACCTACGAGGTGGGCTGTCGTGTTTTGTAAATAGGTATTTTGAGACACAATAAAAAGCTGAAACCGTAACATTTACTTATAATGGCATATGATATGGTTTGGGTATGGATGAAACCGAATACGTTTAAGTAAAAAAACACTTCAAAAAGAAAATCGCTTTTTCAATCATGCCAAAAGATGTTATGAATGATACGATGTCGGATACAACGCTCATCCTTGAACAAACACATCATCCATTATTCCATTTCCCAGGCTCAGAATAGGGCAGGTTTCTTGACAACGACCTCGATGCGAAGGTCGAAAATTCGAAACGAAAACAATAAACGACTAGTAGCCGAAAAACGTACCTACCTTGAATTAAGATGTCTAGTCGTAAAAGCTTGAAATCATATATCTCAGAATAGGGGTTTGTTTTGGTGACCATTGACAACAACGTGAGCATATCGTCTTTCCGACTACCGGCCACCGGCCGGGGTAACTTTTTCAAACATTCTCCACCCATGCCGACTACAGCTTTTAAAAATCAACCGACTCCAAGTCGGAACAGAACCGCTGGCTCTGACTACAACTTCGCAGCCCTGGCCCAAGATAGCCGCCTAAAACAACCTTTATGTGTGATCTTCTTCGTACATTGTTAATGTTATTTTAAACAAGGGGTGGAAAAAGGAGACGAAGCCTTCGCAAACAAGGATCTCCTGTTGCGAATCAATCAGCTGCTGGAAAAGAAAGGCATATGTAAACACCACGCATCTCATTTCATCGTTTTCCTAACAGCTCTGCACCAATGTAAGCACTGATCAATGCAGTGCGAGTATCGATGTGACATTTGTGTACCAAGCTTGAGTGTTATCCGCCCAGCCGGTCTTGAGATGAAGCGGCACCCCGCACGTGCGCACGTGCAGTAGCACCCCCATAGTGACACATGGAAATGCATTGGCCACTGGGTGCCCCTAACTATTGACGAAGTTTTACTGTAATTGGCCCAGCCATTGCGGAGTTACTTTATGTGGAACAATTTCGACACCCCTAAGTTGGCACGTGACACATGCCGTAACATTAACTACGATGAAGAAAATCGGGCGAAAAAATTCGGAGAAGAAGGAATAAGCCTACCAAATATGTAAGTGACATATTGTCAAACTGCTGTACCATTGTGAGTAAATGACTATATAAAAGGTCGTACAAGCCGATGGGACTGGGCGTTTCAATACACACCGTCTTGCGCATTTTATTTTCGTTATTACCTAAAGGCTGCTTGACGTTTTTGGCTTTCAAGCATTTAACCCACGAGCCGCTGGGGGGGGGGGGGGCATAAAGTTGCCCCCCCTTTACGTTTTGTGAAATATCTCCGAAACCTGATGAGCTACGAACGTGAAACTTGGCATAGCTTCAAATGAATACCTAGGCAATGTTTGAGGAAAGTTTGGTGGTTGTAGCACCTAAGATGACGTCACAGTGACGTCATAAAGTTTTGTCGTTTTCCGATATGGACCGTTTCTGATGACGCTGAGCATGAAACTCGACTGTAAATGAACTAGACAGCACCTGCTGTCATCCTAAAACATCTTACTACACTTCCATCTAGTTTCTGACCAATAATCGGCCCTTAATTCGGTCCCATATATGTGATGTATCGTGAGGAATATGAGAGTCGCAAATCTATAATTTCACTTATGACGTCACTGTGACGTCATTTCAAATGGGATCGACACCAAATTTGGACACAACCTCGGCTAGGTATTCAGGAAGATGTGTGCAAAGTTTCGCTTCTCTATCTCTTCGCGTTGCGACGATATCGTCGCAGAAGTAAAGGGGGGGCAACTTTATGCCCCCCCCCCCCAGCGGCCGGCGGGTGGCGCGGAGGCCCAGCGGCCGCCGGGTTAAGACGTTTTTTGTCGTCTCAGATCCAGTAAGATTACCCCCAACTCGTGGGAATATGCAATTCAAGCCAACTAACACACCACACCCACGTGTGTCATAATGCTGAGAGATGGCGTTCACTCGGCTTGCTCCTAACTTACGATAATTCTCTCGCTAGATGGCAGGCCTGATCCCAATGTCGCGGATCCCAATGTTAACCCGCGCGGGGCTGGGGGGGGTAAATTTTACCCCCCCTCGCGAATTTTTGCGATATCTCGAAAACGGCGGCGCGCAGCGCCGCCAAACTTTCAGTACCTTTTCTTACATCAATTTGACACGTTCCCTGAAAATTTGAGCAAAATCCGTCGGAAATTTTTGAGAAATTGACGTTTTAGTGACGTCATGTTCCCCATTTTCGCATCAAAAACGGCAAAAGTTCAAACGCCGCTAACATCTTTATTTTTAAAGGAATCAAGACGTAACAAAAAAGGTTATACGTAATTTTACTCTGTCTATCAAATGGCTATCTCGGTTTTTTGAAAATTTTGGATTTTGGCCTAAATTTTTTCAAAAAACTGACTTTTTTGGGAAAATCATTATAAAATCCAAAATTTTGAGTATATCGAAAAAACCGGAATATATGTCAGAGAAGTGGTCTATGTGCACCTACATACCAAATTTTAGAAAAATCGGTTAAAAAATGTGGGAGTTATTCAAAATTTTATGACGTCACGACACACAATTTTTTTGAAAAATGACTTTTTTGGAAGTTCTAGACCTCGTACGGAAACAAAAATAGCACCATTCGATTCGCCGTGAAAAACTGCATCAGTTAGACACCTTTTTAGGCCTTAACAACCAACTTCAAAATTTGACCTCACTTGACCTGACCTTGACCTGACCTCGACCTGAAATTCATCCAGAGGTGGTCCATATCACTTATTGAGTGTGCCTATTGAATTCTATGAGTAAAATGACCCATAAAACATGTGTCGCACATGCCCTTTTCTATATTTTGTTTTTTGGTGACCTGACCTGACCTGACCTGACCTTGACCTTGACCTCTGAATGATATTGTATGCAACGAATATTGTCTTGGTAGCCTAAGAACACGTTTTGGGCGATCAGTCTCAGTCCATGACTCCATTCTTCGGCAACTACGGTGCAAGGCCGATACTGTAGAAACTTGCAATTTGTACCCTTGACCTGACCTTGACCTTGACCTCAAACTTTAAATTTAGTACATGTTTTTAGTGGTTCGTGATGAGAGCTTTCGATTGGCGTTTGAATTTTCCAAATCGGACCATTAGTTCGGGAGATAACAGGGGGGGGTAAAATTTACCCCCCCCCCAGCCCCGCGCGTTCGGCTGGAGACCCCAGCCCCGCGCGGGTTAACCCGCGCCCGGCTGGGGGTCCTGGATTTCCACGCCCTGCTGGGGGGGGGGGTGTTTGAACACCCCCCCTTGTAACTCGGCTCCTGGGCCACGTAGCGATACGCGGAAGGCGGCGTTCGAAAGAGCGTCAAAAATAATGACGAAATCACTTCGGTCAATTTTTTGGTCAGGTCAAAGGTCAGGTCACCAGAGGTCATTGAAGGCAAAATTTCGCCGATTTCCAGGTCGAATGTCGAAAATTTCCAAGAAGCCCACGCATAACTCGGGAACTAATAGAGCTACAGCGCCGCGGAAAAGCGCATTCGATAGCCCTATTAACGCCCTTTCTGAATAATCCTCTCAGATTTGACCTAACGTCAACGGTTTTGCCTGCAGGGGGCAAAAACTGCAAAAATAGCCGATTTTTTCGAAAACAGTTTTTCTGCAATAACTTTTGACCCAAGCCTTGTACGAGCTTACTGTTACCGGCATCGTGTTCCCCTCGTCAAGACGCATCGAATGAACTATAACTTGACCTTGAAAGGTCAACTTGAAAATTTGACCTCAGGTCAAGGTCATGACCTGACCGGAAAGGGTCATGTTGCATATCAGTCGATCCGTATCGTCGAGCTGAACACATCTAAGGCGTTTTCATCGCTCTAGCATGCCTCTATCAAAAGTTATTTGCGAAAAACTGTTAGATACCATTCGTGACCTAAGATGACCTCAGGGCATAAACAAGGGTCACGGACACCATTTTCAAGTTCAGTGCGTCTAAACCACTTGTAATTCGGTGTTTGGGAGTGTTTATAATGTCTTTCATCCAAAAGAGGCGCATTTCAATTTTCTCCCATTGACTTATAATGGGGAGGTCGCAAAATTGACCTGACCTTAGGTCATCGATATCAAAATTCTGAGATATACATTTTGTACGTGCTATTGCTCTTAGCAATCGCTGAAAGTTTCAAAGCCATCGGTCACTCGGTGTAGCTATGACAGACATTGAAAGTTTTTATGAGTTGAGGTCACTTCAAGTGACCTGGTGACCTGACCTTGAATGACCTTGGTCTGAAAATTTCACAACATGTGTAGAATTGATGTATGATAAGGTGTACCAAAAACGGCGGCGCTCCGCGCCGCCGTTTTTGAGATATTCGCGAAAAACCACAAGGGGGGGTGTTCAAACACCCCCCCCCGCAGGGCGCGGGTTAATTTCCACGAGACACCAATCCAGTGTTATATCATCCATGGCCTGGTCGTGCGAGGGTTAAATATGTTTATAGACATCCGTCTTGTGAAAAGGTTGAACTTTTGCCTTCAATATTTCTACAGGTAATTTTAGAAGTGCCTTCACATAGAGTACAAAACCGTTTAAATTATTTTATTCACTTCAAGCCTTCCCTATTGTTCTTGATGATGCGGGAACTATTTCTAATTAGTGTTTCTAGCTTAGTAAAAGAACAGATCGTGCAAACGATGAAAAAAGCATAAATGGAAGATTTTAAATGCAATTTTCTGTAACAAATAATGGTAAATTCTCTACACATCAAGGAAAAGGTGCATGCTAACTGATAAGTTAAAGTTCTTGGGGCCAGTTGGTTTCTTCTTTTCTTACGTCGCCCCAATGGCCGCGAATACACTTGTGATAACGCCTATCGTAATGCTGAGGTACGTATAAATGTTTACATATTGTTTGTTTTAATGTTGAGACTTGAGGCATTAGATAAACAATGGAAAGTTTATAGGTAATAGGCATTAAAAGTTACATTTTTTTCAAAAATGTTTTCAATTCAGGTTAGCACAGCTATTAGACCGGGGAAAAATAATGCCATTATGACACGAGGAAATTTCTCTAGTCTCAACTAATATCGGTTGGAATAGCAGAGAAAATAAAAACTGCAGGGAATTCTACTGAAAATGAGCCGCAACGATGCCCTATTCATTTTTCAAGTAGGTAGGAGTGCGAGTGTAGGTAATGCACACCACTTACTTTTGTGACAGTCAAAGTCTGTGCACAGCACACCCGAATCAGTGCACGTGCAAATGTTGCAGTCGTCTTGCCAGGAGCGTGGTGAAGTGAGCTCACCCTCCGGGCACGCACTGTTGGGACACTCCCAGTCTGGGCAGCATATGCCGGTGATGGGCTTCTCAGTGCAGTGGGCACCTGGCTTCGGTGGGCACTGCTTCACTCTGCCGACCGGGGAATAATGGTGAGGGTCCAAGCATCGGGGAAAATACAGACGGTGATTAACCCTCGCCGGACCTATTGGTTTTCTACATACGCGCCGGCCGAGGGGGGGGGGGGCGGGTACGACCCCCCTCGCCGTTTCGCCCCTGGTGGAGCTAGAGCGTCGCGGAAAAAACGAGCGTGTGCGCCGTTACGAGACGCAGAGACCGGTACCCGATTTTAAGGTCCTAGGTAAACCGGTGACCTCTGAGGTCAGGTCAAGTGCCCCAGGGTACGGTTCAGTTTGTGGTGAATAACTTCGCAAAAAAACGGCCGCAGAGCCGTGATTTTGGCAGCATCGTGTTCGCCTCACTCAGGCGCGTCGAATGATATACTTTTTGTTTGGGTCAGGTCAACTTGGGGTGTTGACCTCAGGTCAAGGTCAGGTCAGCACCCCCAGGTCACGAAGTTGGTCGAAAGAGGTCATGTCGCATATCATTCGATTCGGCAGGTCTTCCTGAGTCCATTGGTGGCTTTTTCGACTCGCTAGCTCAATTTTATCGGGAGTTATTGACGAAAAACTAATATGACGTTGATGACGTCATAAATGACGTCACGGAAGGTCAACATTGCAAAAGTGACGCATCTAACCTTGCAAGGAGTGCATCAAATCACGATTCTGTGTGCTTGAGATAGTTGGAGATCGTTCCCGGCGCCAGAATAGCAGTTTTCATTTTTCCCCATTGACTTATAATGGTGAGGTCACGAAAATGACCTGACCTCATATGACCTTTAGGAAAAATCCGAGATATACAAGTTATGAGACTCATAATGGATACTAGATCCTGCAAGTTTCATTTCCCTGTGACATCTCCTCTGGCAGTGAGGGCGTTGCGAAGTTGCGACATCTGAAGACCGTGCAGAGGTTCACTTATGACGTCATAGGTCAGTGAACCTGACCTGACCCAAAAATACGGTTGGTGTCAAAAGATGCGGCTTGGATCAAAGGTCAGGTATGCCAAGTTTCAGCACTCTATCGCCAGCGTGTTCGGAGCTATCGCGAAAAAACCCTATGGGGGGGGGGCGGCACCCGCCCCCCCTCGGCCGGCGAGGGTTAAAACGGACATAGGTATGGACCGTGCTAGCATGCTTTAGTCATTCCTGGAAATTCACAGCGAATCATCATGACATAAGTCTAGATCATGAATGGCTAAAGTCCTATCATCATCGATCAAATTTTCTCACTTGTTGCGTATGACTCCGTACTGACACGTGTATTCATAACACGGGTTTTCCTTAGAACTCCACGTAGCCCCGTGTTCCTTTGTCTCCACGCCGTTCGTTAGAGTATCGATGGAACACCCTGAGGAGCGGAAACATTGAAGCGATGTAAAGCATTTCTGTGACATAGTTATGATTTAAGAAAACCCGAGGGAGAAACTTAGGACGAAAGAATTTATGACATATAGGCAAGCAAGCAATATAGTTAAAGGGATGCTCCAGTGATACTAAAGCAAAAAAGGCAACAACTTATAAATGCAACGTAAAAAAAAACACATTACCGTAAAGGCAACGCTCTAAATTGGCAAAACATACGTATACAACGACAAAATGATAAATTATGCATCATCCTGCAGTATCATATGCAAAAGAGTTGTCAAGCTTCTATAACGATTGGCTGAATCGAAGTCACCTCACCCTTCTCTGTGCAGATATTTTCGGTGCAGATCAGTTTGCCGGGGTGGAGACACTGGCAGTGGTTGCACCCATCAAAGGAGCGCTCTCCGAGTACACATTCCGGGATGGCACAGTCATAGATCGGGCAGCAGACGTTACCTGAACGAAACGAGAGAGAGTTATGACGAGGAAGTGATAGTTTGATGTATCTAGTTACTGTTCTACATACCTACATACATAATCAATACATATATCGTCGAGCAAAAGCTGGATGAAAGTTTTGCATATTAGGGCAAAGAGGAGAATCGCTCAGCTACAAAGAGAGAAAAATGCACAAATAACCTGCGCGCATCGTTTGCACTATATGCCACCTGCATGAATTGGCTTAAAGATATATTCACCTATTTATAACATTGGTTGCTGTTAAAAAACTACGCCTTGCATATGCGTTTTATCAGACAAAGTATACCTATTTCCATCCCTTTCAATGAGTCCCAAGTTCAATAAGCATCGCGGGCTGTAACGGGCTGTGGTACATCACCGTCTGCGTCGCTGTCTCCTTTTAGATAGATGGCTGTACAGTTCTCGTGGGGCGCCGGAGGGCATGGTTCTGTCACAGGCTCAATGTTGCCGGCGGAACACCGGTACTGGGCACAGCCGACGAACCAGCTCGAGCCATCGGTGTGCACCCTGTTCAGGTCGTCCCTGCAGTCTGCAGACGGGTCAGCGGGGTCAACATGCTGCAGGTCATAGTCGATCAGACGACGCGGCTACCGGGCGGAAGACTGATTTGGGTGATTGGTATTTAAATCGGCTGGGCATTGATAGCACTGACCTCTCTCCCACGAATACATACAGCTCTCCACTGACCTCCTCTCGCGAGAAACAACTCTCCACTGACCTCCGTCTCACGGAAAACAATTTTCTACTGACGATTCTCCACTGACTTCCCTCTCACGAGTAACAGCCCTCCACTAACCTCCCTCTCACGAGTAACAGGCCAGCCCTCCACTAACCTCCCTCTCACGAGTAACAGCCCTCCACTAACCTCCCTCTCACGAGTAACAGCCCTCCACTAACCTCCCTCTCACGAGTAACAGCCCTCCACTAACCTCCCTCTCACGAGTAACAGCCCTCCACTAACCTCCCTCGCAGGTGTAGAGCGTGCAGCATCCGTCTGCACTGGTACCGCTCTGCTGACAACCAGACGCCGTCGGATACGACGGGCACGTAACCGCATCGCAGCTACAGTTGAACTCGGGGCAACAGCGGCCGACCGTGATTGGTAGCGGAGTACAGTCAGGTCGCGGAGCGTCCGGACAGGTTACCGGCCGACTGTTTGCGATGCCGTGCTTACAGTCAAGCTCCTGACAGTTGGAAGTCCAGTGCGAGCCGTGTTCGTGACGTGTACCGTCATCATCGATGCAGCCTGCCGCGGGGTGGGGATGCAGTGTCGTCATCATGGGCGGATTGGGGAGTGCGCACTGCGCAGCCTTGGTGCGGTGGTTGTGCTTAACATATATGTTATGTTGTGTTTGGATGTGCCATGAGATGTGATCAAAATGAGGTCACGGATCTCAACGATCACGGATCGCACATAAGTTACAGGTAAGTGTTTACCTAGTCCAGACAATATATAAAAATCGAGTAGGCATACCGTCAGTTTCAGATACCTAAGTTTGAATAGGATATGCTTTAGTCGATAGGATCATGGTGTAAACGAATTCGGAAACATCTTCCTGCATCGACACCCTCATTAGCTACACTATTTTCCTGCTGTGAGGTGTTGTTGGCCATTCCCACTGCTCACCGCAGTCGTAGATCGGACAGCACTCGCCGGGGTTGGTCCGTCGGCACTGACTGTCTCCCGGTGGTGGACACTCCTTGGGAGAGCTAGTGGCGGTGCCGTTGTCACAGCTGTAGATGGAGCAGTTCTCCTCCCAGGAGGTACCGTGCTGGTGGGGCTGGCCGCTCTGGTCCGCACAGTCTGCGGCAGCAAAATCACGTCGCTGTTTATAACATTGCGGGCGGTATTGTGATATTTGGTGCTAATATAATAATCGGTAGTCTCGGCAGTTAGAGGCCCAGTAATTCTATTCTTCTTGCTGATTGACGAATGCCTTATAAGAGAACCAAAGGAAGCGTTTGATACATGTTCCAGAACTGACGCACTGACTTCCATTGAATGTCAATTCTATACTTAATCATAAGCTGTTAGCCATCACCATGCCATGATAAGTAGCGAAGCGAACATTAACCCTCGCCCGCACATGGGGGGGGGGGGTGGTTGCCACCCCCCCAGGCAGTCTTTCTGCTCTGCACTCAACATTTTTAGAGCTAGAAGGCTGATTTTTCGTATAGCTGCTCGTCTATCCTTTCTTGATGTCCACTGAAAATTTCAAGTTTCTGTGATTTTTGGTTTCGGAGATATGACCTTGTTTTTCAGGTCATGTCATGACCCAAATGGCCAATTCTCAACATCTTGCGTTTGCCATGGGCCTTGTGAGCTTTTGACACCCTGATTTCGGCCTTTTTTGCCAGTCTTACCTCCCACCTATCATGGAACATGTTGTTCGACGATGTACAGGGGTCAAGGTCAGGGTCAAGGTCAACCTAGGTCATCTAAGATAATTGCGTTTTAGGCAAGCGGAATTTACTTTTTGTGAAGTTTTTTGACTGCATTTTTGGTAAAAGCTTCTCAGATCATGATTTCATGTGATATGGACCCAAAAACAATCGGTGCACACATCAGTATACACACAGACACACACAGACATACAAACACATATAATTGACCTTGACCTAACTTGACCTGAAATGACCTCAGCAGCAAAATTCTGGTCGGATAGTGTGACAAAGAGGTTCTAGCTGGCTTGGCACCAGAAAACAGCATCGTCATCGGTATTTGATAGGCAGCGCACTTGATATCCAACGGTGACCCAAAACAGCAACATTTTTTTAGTTTGACCTGACCTGGAAGGTCAATGACTGACCTGAGAAGGTAAAACTGGGTATCATTGGATTCGTCTCTTCCCAAAGAATCTTTTTTTTTACTGCTAAGCTCTATCTCCAACAGGAACGAAATGGCGCGGGGGGGGGGGGTGGCAACCACCCCCCCCCCCCATGTGCGTTCTAGGATGGGAAAATGGCATGTGCGGGCGAGGGTTAAAAAATACTTCTTCGTAAAAAATTGTCGTCCTTC